GCCTTCTTTTGGATGTTCTGGGTCTCTCTGACCCAGCTGCAGTTTGTTAGGTAATTTTAGATCTCAAAGGGCCAGCCCATTCATATGCAAAAGCCTCTGCTTGCAGCTTGGGTGGGTTGGCCTCTCAGGGAATCACCAGGGCACAGCGAGCAGCTATGGCTGCTCCTCAGTCCTATCCTAAGAGGCCCTGTGTCTCAGTGTCCTGGTAATCGCTGCAAGCACCTCTGAGAGAAAGCCGCCCTCGAGTTCCGACTGATGCCAGACAGTCCAGTCTCTCCCCGTATGAGTCTGGGTGCCCAGAGACTCACCCAGAACTGGAGTTCAGAGCCGTCAGGAGCTTGAGACTCCCTCCCAATTGAAAAAGACCCAGTGTCCTCCTTTGCCAGCCCTTGCTGTGTGTGCCTCCGTACCTCTGCACTTCTGCACCTCCTCTGAGTCTTAGTGTGCTTGTCTCTTTCCTTCTAGTTGTAGAATTTCCACTCAGCCAGCCTTCCTGTATTTCTGGATGATGTCTGTTTTGTCTATTAGCTGTAGTTTTGAAGTGGTGGTGCGAGGCAGCAATTTCAGGTGTTTACCTATGCCGCCATCTTGGTTCTCTCCTCATCCATCTCTTGTATTCATTATTAATAAACTACCTTCTATAATGTATGCTGCTAGTATTGCTGTTATTTTTCAACAATTTCTCTCTTTGATTTTCCTTCCCTACCGTAAGCATCTCCTCTAACTTTTGGTCTTTATGTGTCTGATCATAAATGTATGCAGTGACACAAATTTTCCAGTCACTGTTTTCTTCCAGGTAAACTAATTAGATAATTTGCCCTTCCTCTATTATTTTAGAATAAATTATATATGTGTGCACACGTGTATATAAATTTCTCTTTCCTATGTTTTATTAAAATTATAAATTCCAGACACATCTGGTCTCCAATTCTAGCTAATCTAGCCTTAGCATTTATAAGCAATATAATCTTGAGCAGATTTCCAAACATGCCTAAACCTGGTTTCCTACCTGGTAAATTGAACTTAAAAATAATACCTATTGGGCAATGGCAGAGTAGAGTGGAATACACTCATTACTTTTCCCACAGGCCAGGGTCCCTGGTACATGGCACTCTTTGCATAAACATCTGTTGCAAGCCTTGTACTCACCTGCCAGGGTTGTGTAAGGATTAAAGAAAAGAATGCACTTTAAGAACTTAACATGTCTACAATTTTCATTTTAGTATTATTTAGTACAATATATATTCTAGGCCTAAGTATTATTCTAAGCTATGATTTAAAAAACATAATTTGTAGATATTTTTCACTGTCTTATTTTTACTTCAAACCAATTGTCCTTCATAATATCCATTTTACTGATTCACATTTTTCTCTTCTACTTTGAGACTTAGTTTAAAGCCATATTAATTGTATCAGTATATCTGCTGCTAATACTGCTCTTTCCAAGTTTGTGAGATTCATGTATCCACCAAAGGAAAAAAAAATTCTGGTGTTATAAATCACGGTCCAGAAAACAATTCCTTTTTCTTACACAATTTTTGAAGTTAATTATTTACTTGACATAGATAGCATTCGTTTCTCGGCTTCTTTGTTCTTAGGATTTTCATTTATATTTAGAAATAAGGATTACATTTTTCTAGTGTTTTTAAAATTTTTATTGATTAAGTTATTATATATGTGTCCTTATTCCCACATTACCCCCCATCCCCTACACTCATGCCCTCACCCCCCTGTTGTCTGTGTCCATTGGTTAGGTCTATATGCATATAAGTCCTTTGGTTGATCTCTCCCCTTACCCCACCCTCCCCTACCTTCCCTCTGAGGTTTGATGGTCTTCTAATTGTTTCTGTCTCTGGATCTGTTTTTGTTCATCAGTTTATGTTGTTCATTATATTTCATAAAAGGGTGAGGTCATGTGATATTTATCTTTCTCCAACTGGCTTCATTACCCCCCATCCCCTACACTCATGCCCTCACCCCCCTGTTGTCTGTGTCCATTGGTTAGGTCTATATGCATATAAGTCCTTTGGTTGATCTCCCCCCTTACCCCACCCTCCCCTACCTTCCCTCTGAGGTTTGATGGACTAATTGATGTTTCTGTCTCTGGATCTGTTTTTGTTCATCAGTTTATGTTGTTCATTATATTTCATAAAAGGGTGAGGTCATGTGATATTTATCTTTCTCCAACTGGCTTATTTCACTTAGCATAATGCTCTCCAGTTCCATCCATGCTGTTGCAAATGGTAAAACTTCCTTCTTTTTTTACCACAGCATAGTATTCCATTGTATAGATGTACTAGAGTTTTTTAATCCACTCATCTGCTGATGGGCACTTAGGCTGTTTCCAAATCGTAGCTATGGAGAATTGTGCTGCTATGAACATCGGAGTGCATATATCCTTTCTGATTGGTGTTTTTAGTTTCTTGAGATATATTCCCAGAAATGGGATCACTGGGTCAAATGGAAGTTCCATTTTTAGTTTTTTGAGGAAACTCCATACTGTTCTACACAGTGGCTACACCAGTCTGCATTCCCACCAGCAGTGCACAAGGGTTCCTTTTTCTCCGCATCCTCGCCAGCACTTGTTGCTTGTTGATTTGTTGATGATAGCCATTCTGACAGGGGGGAGATGATACCACATTGTCTAGGGTTTTTAATAGTGCCCTATTTTAATCGGTAATGTCATTCAGGTACCATATTTTGCCATGGGAGAGAAACGTTGATGCATCTTTTGGGGATTTCTCAATACAGTGCTGTCTTGAAACATGGACAGGAAGGTGATGTTTGTGGATGTAGCATAAGGACAGAAAGAGCATTGCGGAGAAACCAAGATGGCGGCATAGGTAAACACCTAAAATTGTTGCCTCGCACAACCACTTCAAAAATACAACTAAAAGACAAAACGGACATCATCCAGAATCACAGTAAGGCTGGCTGAGTGGAAATTCTACAACTAGAAGGAAAGAGAAAAGCACACTGAGACTCAGAGGAGGTGCGGAAGTAAGGTGCAGAGGTACGGAGGCACACGTGGAAAGGGCTAGCAACTGAGGACGCAGTTGTCTTTTTCAATCAGGAGGGAGTCTCAAGCTCCTGAGGGCTCTGGGAACCCAGACTCATACAGGGAGAAACTGGACTGTCTGGCATCGGGCAGAACTCGAGGGTGGCTTTCTCTCAGAGGTGCTGGCAGCAATTACCACGGGACACTGAGACCTGGGGCTCCTTAGGACAGGGCTGAGGATCAGCCATAGCTGTTTGCTCTGCCCTGTTGATTCCCCGAGACACCGCCCCACCCAAGCTGTGTGCAGAGGCTTTTGCATATGAATGACCTGGCCCTTTGCAATCTAAAATTACCTAACAAACTTCAGCTGGGTCAGAGAGTCCCAGAACATCCAAAAGAAGGCCCAAGGCCCCACAGCAGCTTGCATTGCTTCACAGATGGGCCTCATCTGGGCACCTCCAAAAACCCCAAACAAAGAAGAGGAATCTGCAGATCACTCCATAGCTCCTGCTGGGTAGCTTCAGGCAGAGGCTAAATTAGCACCTCCTTAGAGATCCAAGTGCCAGTGTACCCAGTGGTCAGAGTGGGACCATCCAGATTAAAACTCCTCAGATCCATAAGGGACACACTCAGGGGGCAGACTCAGTGAGCACCAAAGCCCCACTGAAGCAAGTCTTGCCCCAGAAGGGTGTCTCCAGCACAGAAGTTCTCCCACTGCAGACA